TGTGAGGATTGTTTGATGGACATGGTTTAAATCTGATCCCAGCCAAGACCGGGAGAAAGGCCACTCAACTTTTGCAGGTAGAGGGGTTTGTCTGTAAAGAAATTCTGAATAAATATACAACATTAAGTGGAGGAGAGGACCATCAGTACACACAGGTTGGGAGCAGAGCCACTGATGTTAAAGTAGAAGTTATTATTACAAAGGAAGGAGACCCAAGTGGGCTAGACAGGGTCTAGAACAAAGGACAGTCATTACTAGAGAACCCAAGAAAGGTGCTGTCTAAGCCACAAATAAGTTCTCTGATTGAGAGACAAATAGAAACTGACAGAAGGGGCTTGATAATAATCTGGTGGGCTTTAAGTCTTGTAAATTAAGAGGCCCAGACCTGTCTGTCTCTTCACATAGGGTACATCCTAAGGGAGGTGTGAACCTCCTTGGGAAGGCACCCTGTTGACTTCCATTACTTACCTGGCCTGGGAGGAGAACTGGCCAGGTGAAGGCAGGAGGCATCTCTAACAGGAAAGTCACAGTTCTGCCTGCAGTGTTGCTGACCCTACTTGGCTGTCTCCTCTCAGCAGCAGTGCTCACCTTGGAAGCTGGGCTGAGTGAAGGGCTTTTCAGCTTAGAGCCAATAAGATCTGTGGCTCTGACCTGAAGTCCTTCGACTCCAGGGCAGGTCTATTTCCAGTGATCCAACTCTTGGCTGGCAGAGCTGCCAGGGCTCTTCAGAAGCTGACTTCTGCTGAAGCCCAGGCTTACCACACTGAAAGCCACTGCAGTGGACTGGCCTGTTGGGTCTCCTTGAGGGCAGATCACAGATCGTTACATTTTTGATGCCTAGCTTTCTCTTCCTCCTGGTTTTTGTTAAAGCAGATCAGAGGATGCAAGTTAAGGGGGTGCTCAAGTCCCGTCTCTAATCTAAAAATCACATTGTGCACCTTAGAGAGTCCTTCAGAATAGAATTAGTTTCCTACCTCGAAGAGAATAGAGAAATGAGAAAAAAAGTTGGACTTGGAATAGAGAAATGGGGGTGCCAGTCCCAGATCACTTACTGACAATAGCAATATAAAATGAAAATTTAGAAAGTGGTTTCAATCATTAGATAACAAATATAGCAGTGTCAATACTAGCTTTTTAAACTCTTGAACTGTTTTTTAATTTACCAATTGATTCAATTTCCTTGATGCTCTTAGTAACCTCGGCTAACTATACTTTCAGTTGGTACCTATAATACATTATTGGCTCCATCTGTTTACAGCGCCATCCCAAAGTACTGAATACAAAAGATGTGGATGGAAAAAGTCCATCAGAACCTATAGGAGGACAGTTAAGCACAGAACCAACAACACTTTAGTTTTATGAGCAGCAAATCTGATATATAAAACTGTGGATGACAAAACACTTTAAGTTGCCTCATTTAAAATTATAAACTTATTATAAACTCAACAAGAGGCATGTGCTTACTTCACATAGCATTTTTGAAAGCACCGGTAGGGTTTTACAGAACATTTAACTCTTTAGGCCTCTGTGGCTTTCTCATTAAGACCCAAGATTTCTTTCATAACTTTCTGTGACTTCCACACACCCTCTTCACCTTACTTAAAACATTCCATCATTTCCATTCCAGTCTAGAGTAAACTAACCAGCAGGATGAAGTCAATCTTACAAACCTTGTCCTCTCGTTATTCAAAATAACTCTTTCCTTTTAATCCTTTCTTACCAAATGCACATTTCTATAACATTTTTAGCACAAATTTAACATGATGAGTATACAAGAGTTTACAATAAATGAGCAGTTACACCTAAATGACTTAAGATGGTGATATTATACATCTCTACTTGAATTCAATTAAAATTAAAATTGCATCCATCTAAAACAAATACTAATTCCCCATTGCTGTTTCATTGAGTACTGATTACCCGGAAACCTGTTAAAATAAATTGCAAAGTAAGTTCAGCAAGTTACAAAGCGATATTCTCAAAGGTAGTGATCTTCCTAGATTCAAAGAAAGGAAACCAGAGGAGGAGGCTAGAGATCCACGTGTTCAGGAATAGGTCCTTTTAAAACTTAGCCGGAGGGTGGCCAGGGAAGCAAGAGCAGCGAATCCCATTAGGATGGGGGGTGGAAGCTTGACACCGGTGGCTGGACCATGTGGCTACCTGGCTTCCAGCAATGGCGATGGGGGCTAGAGGGAGGGGCAGGATATGGCGCAGGGTGGAAGAACAGGCATATGGGGGCGGGAGGCTCCTGGTTAGCTGTGGTGTCCCCAGGAACTCAGGAGGGTCTGAAAAGGTGGAGGGTGGAGAGTTTGGCAGTAACACAGAAGAGGTGTCCTTAGGAGTTGGGGGCCCGATCTTGGCCAGCAAGACCTGGGCTGTGGAGTAGGCAGAGAGGAAAGTAAGGGACAAGGGAGTAGGACAGGAGCCAAGGTTTCAGAAAGCCTGGACGTTCGGGACCTTTGACCATTTTCTCTCCCTGCGGCAGAAATTCTCAAGGTAATTAGGCCATACCTGGGTGGAGTAGAAGATTAGGCATTTACTCCGTGGGCCTGGGCCAGTTCCAGTTTCTTCAAGTTCTTTAGGAGGCAGGCCAGAGGGCATGTTGAGTCCCACCCTCAGGATTTGCCAGATCCCATGGTCTCCCCAGTAGCCCGGATCTACTGAAATTCAGTCAAGGCATCCCCTGTCCAGCAGATGGATTAGAAGTCAGTCCTCTACACGGCCAAGCCAGTGGCAGGATGTCTCTACAGCTGCTGGGAGGTTAAACAGTGGAGAACAGAGCCCATGTGTGCATGATTTGGAGGTCTCTGTCCGGACGGAGAGCTAGCCAGAAATCACAGAGACTGGGCCAACCCAGAGGAGGGAGGGAGAGCAAGGGAGGGGGTTACTTACAGTTGGTCAAGCAAGGCGATTCAGCACCATCTGCAAGGTGTCCAGTGCATAACAATTCTTCCCAGGCAGATGAATAAATTAATTCACAGGCTTTTATTGGGTTCCGCTCCTGGGCGAGGTTCCTCGGTTCCAACAGAGCAACAGAGCAGGGGCTGGGGAAGTCGCGCGTCAGAGATTGGGAGAACTCCTTTTATAGGTTCAGGGCATGGGGGTTAAAGGTTGAGGCGGGTCTGATCCTCATTGGTTGACCTTTAGGCATCTGCAGGGACCTTGACAAGGACTTTTCTTCCCTGGAAGTACAGGTAGGAAATTTCCTTTCCTGGAAGTATAGGCCTTCCCTCCTTACAGATCCCAAAGCTACCAGAAATCAAGTGCAATTTATAACTGAATTGATACACTAGCAATAAATATATTTTGGAAAAAAATGTCTGATGTGTAACTTGCAGTTTTGAGTTTCCATGTAATCCATCACTCTTTACTTCCTCTAGTTTTGCACTAGGTCCTCATGGTGATGTTCCAGAATCTACCTAGATATGGAAAAACCAGGACTTGGGAGTCACAAACTAAGGATTCGATACAGTCTAGTATATGTAGAAAAAAGGGAAGAAAACAACCTGCCCTTAGTCAGAGCCCTGGATGTGTCTGAACCAGGAAGATGTAAGGGAGAAAGTGCAAATAGATCTTTCCTGCAGGTGGACCCAGTGCATCACAATGTGTGGCCCCACAGGACAGTGCTCCTAACCCATTAGGTTCACACCTCCTCCAGACTGAGCAAGGAGAAGGGAACATCAGGACAAGTGAAGCAGGAGCAGTCCTGGAATGGGGAGATGCTCAGAGGCACTCCGTTAGAAACATTAGGACATACTAATTTTCTAATGTATGTAAGACCACTTTGATCTTTCAGTAGTTATGTACTGCTTTTAGTGTTGTAGGTAATGTAGGGTTCTTGTAATCCACTATGTAATTTTTTCTGAGAACTGAAATTACATTTAGCCTTCACAAAGCACAGTGAAATTCAATGCTTGTGGATTGTACTACACATTTTGAAGCTGCTTGGAAATTCCAGTCAGCACTTTGTTTTGGTACTGGACATGGAAATGATCTCACAAGAGCAGCAATTAGTGAACTAACATAAATAAAAATAATCAAAGTTTACTTAAACCACTTAAACATTTTCCAAGAAATAGTGCTGAGGAAGTTGTAATGTAAAATAAGCCAAAGGTAGTCCTAAGCACAATTAATTTATTTCTCACAAACAACCTACTGCATGGATTTACTTTTTGTGAATTAACACAATTCAAATTATCCTGAAATTTGTTATGATCACTGGATAGATGTAGACTTTTATTTGATGATTGCAATTAAAATGGTTGAAATTATTAACGTGGAAAAATTAACTCAGAGGATGAATCCAACATGGTAATTCAGGTAAATCAAGATGTACAACACAGGGAATAAATTCCAATTATTGCTGTAGAGTTATGACATTGTAATAATTTCTTAAACACTGGTTTTTGTCTCTCATTATCTCACATGAATAAAGCAGTGTATGTGAAACATCATGATTCTGTTCTGTGTCAGTGTGAATGTACAAATACATAGGAAATGTTTGTGTTCTATTTTTTTTTTTACAGGCATAATGGACAGTGAGAGAGAGAGAGACAGAGAGAAAGATCTTCATTTGCCATTGGTTCACCCTCCAATGGCCGCCGAGGCCGGCGCGCTGCACTGATCTGAAGGCAGTAGCCAGGTGCTTCTCCTGGTCTCCCATGGGATGCAGAACCCAAGCACTTGGACCATCCTCCACTGCACTCCCATAGCAGAGAGCTGGCCTGGAAGAGGGGCAACTGGGACAGAATCCGGCGCCCCGACCGGGGCTAGAACCTGGTGTGCCGGCGCCGCTGGGCGGAGGATTAGCCTGTGGAGCCACAGCGCCAGCCTCTACTTATCTTTATCTTTTAGTGGTTCTCTCTACTTACACTCTTCTGTCTCCCTACTTAGCTTTCACATGGAAGGCATTTAACTCAGTTATTGGTAAGCCTCCTTAGACTCCAAGTTGTTCTTCTTTGAAATTCAACACATAAGTTAGGTATTTCATCACCTAATAGGTTCTTTGGAGATTTGATGGCAAGAAACCTGACACCTTAGGACCTAATACCAGGCTCTATCAGTGGATCCCTCAGAATGACCTTCTTGGTAAGACATGGAGGACAAACGCTGTAAACATGAGTAACAAGTTGAAAGACAGTGGTTCAACAGAAAGCTGATGACCATTTATTATAGAAACACTCAGAAGTCAACCAAATGTCTTCATGCTTATTTTCTAGTCCTAGGGAGTACAATGAACCAAATCAGTGGGCATTCATTATGCACAAATTCCTCACATCCCTAGAATTTCTCACTAATTTCTTGCTGGGAGAGAATTTGGTACAGCAGTTAAGAAGTCACTTGGGACATCTGCATCCTTATTGCTGCTGCTAGGTCCAAGTTCAATCTCTACTTCTGGTTCCAACTTTCTTTCCATGTGCACCATGGCAAGGTAGCAGGAGATGGCATAAATCCTTGACTCACAGTAATCCACACTGATATCCGGGATTGAGTCTCTGCTTGGCTTTGCCTTGCCCAGCCCCTGTTCTTGTAAGCAGTTGAGGAGTAAATCGGTAGAGGGGTGATCTCTAGCTCTCTTTTTGTCTCTCATACACTCACTCATTCTTTCCCTATGTCTTCCAGGTAAATCAACTTTATAAAATAATAATTGTTTTTGAGGTTGTCTCTCTCCCATTTTTGTCACTACATCTGTTGTTTCCCATAATACAGTGGTTTGAAATGCCACTGAAAAATATTATTCATGTTGTTATGAATTGTTCCATAATTTCTGTGGGAAAGTCTCAGCAAATATCCCAGGAAATGAAAAAGCATGTGAAGATTAAGTGTGGGCTCTCCTAAGATCCCAGCAATTTTAGTATGCCACTATCTACTGTGTACTAAATCTTATATGTCATTCTCAGTGAATGAACTACTGTTTTAAGAGAAAGCATTCTAGCATTGATTTGATGGGGTGTTATTTTAGCATAAGAAATCTTTTTCAATAAGAATATAACTTTCATTCCTGCTTGCTATTTTCTTTCCAAGTAGATCCAATCACAGTACCTTCCCATGTGGCCTTTACTGACCTCTTCAGTAGATTGAGGAACCTCTTCCTCTTGATCTCTAAGCAATTTATGCACTATCTCATCTTTATTCATAACCTGTGTTCTAGACATCACGAGCCCTTTTAGTGCCCCAAATTCTGTTTCTTCTTTATTTCTCAAACTTATCATTAATAACTTTACTGAAAAACTCTCAATTCTAGGTCATCCAAACACCAAAGCTTTTGTAACTCATGGTGGAGCCAATGGCATCTATGAGGCCATCCACCATGGCATCCCTATGGTGGGCCTCCCTTTGTTTGGGGAGCAACATGATAACCTTGCCCACATGAGGGCCAAGGGAGCAGCTGTTAGATTGGACTGGAAAACAATGTCAAGTGCAGATTTGATCGATGCCGTGAAGACAGTCATTAATGATCCAACGTGAGTATTGCTTTTTTGAAAAAAACTGATTTGATGCGTTTTCACTTGAGGACTAAAAGATTCTGAAAATGATCACTATTTTGACTATAGCTCTTGTAAATACTGGAAAGCAATCATCATGTCTGACTTGTTTATTACAAAATAAACAAGTAATTTACCTGAAAAAGATACATTAAAATAATCTGGTCCAATACTCAAAATATTTGTATTAAGAAATACTTCTCCAATTACTTCATTATATAGTTAGTGTTGTTTAAGTATTAGCACTATATTGTGATATCAATAATGTTTGGAATGTGTTTGCCTCCTTTGATTACACAATGATGTAAACGTAAATGTGAAGTTTTCCTAGGGAATATTTCCTTGATAGTATCACAATGGCCCTTAGCTTGTAAAAGTAGCTGGACTTCATTTTTTACAGCTGTTGTTCAACCTAAAGAGCTAATCATCAGCACACCTGTTTTGTCTTTTTTTCCAAAACACATTTATCTTTCTCGTACATATTCTCTTACATTCTTAATAGATGTAATACTGCAGGCTGAAGTGAATTTCTAAATTAACTAAAAAGGAAGGCATTCAATTTCATACATTCACAACTAGTTAGGCTGGTATACTTTCCCCCACGGGGCTTCAAGCTCGTTCCTTCTAGGTTCTTCCTGTCTCAGGCTACTGCGGCTTCATCTCACCTCTCTTTCCAGTGCTAATATGGAGACTCTTGGCAACTGGGGTCCTAGCTGTGAGTACCATGCCCTCTACGTAGGTCCACCATGTCGCTCTAATTACAGAAGAGTTTCCTCTGCCGATCTTCCCCAAATTCTCCCCTGAGACTACGATATCTTCACTTTTATTAATCTGACTTCTCCCAGACTATCAGTAAGCTCCTTCCCTATTCCGCCATCTTGCCCCAACCCTCTAAATATATCTTTTAATTATTAAGTTCTCTTTTTTAAAGTGTGAGGTTTTGCAAGTTATGTGTATTAAATACATTCTCAACTTAACAATACTTTCAACTTAGATGAGGAGTATTTGTATATGAAAATGAATCATTCATTTTGTTGACATATCCTGAATTTTTAATTGGATTGACCCTCATTTTATGGTTATAATCAATTTGTGCCATTTGTTTACAGGTTGCACTGATTTTCTGTATTTTTCTAATGACAAGGGTGGAGAAGATACAAAGGATGAATTTGCTATTTTTAGAACAATAAATTCCCAAGTCAGAAAGACAGGAACTCAGAGTGGTAACAGAGACATGAGATCAGCTAAGATAGGATAAATTGTTAAAAATTAATAAAAGCTTCTATGTCAGAGAATTTGAATTTTGGAATTGAATTAATCAGTTATAAGGAGAAAATAGAGCTTACAAGAATCAGAATAGATTGAAACACACAGTAGAATATATTTCTCTCTTAAAAACAGAATGAAGAACACTTGGATTCCCTGCCTGATGTGCCTTGCCCATTTTTTTCTTGGAGTGTGTTTGACAAAGCTAACTGCTCACGGCTCTCTCATAATTTCTTTTCACTTCCTGTGATGCTATCCTGAGCTGGATGCTTCCTGAAACACTGGAGTTTTTACCATATTAAAAATGAATATTCAAAGGGTTGGTGCTACTGAAAGCTGACATCCCTTATGAATCAGTGAATGGAAGACTTCTCTCTCTCTCTCTCTCTCTGTAACTCTTTCTTTATGTTTTTATACTTTTTATTTAAGGTATATAAGTCTCATGGATTTCATATACACAGTTATAGGAATATAGTGTTCCTTCTCTGTCGCTCCCTTGCCCGCAAAGGAACAACACTGCTCACAGCTAATCGGTCTTCTGTAGACTTTTATTAAGAAAATAACAACGACAGAGAAAGAATGGAGGGAGGAAGAGAGGAGATGAAAAAAGGCCCCCTCCTTCCTGGGCACACAGCTTATGTACAAAATCCGGCCAATTACAAGCGGGCTCAAGTCCATGCACGGAACACTCCAATCCGCTGTTTGTTTACACAGTGCGCACGCATCCTTGGGCCAATCAGATGAGGTGTCATGCAGCAGGCAGACTCACTGCATAGTCCTCAGCGCCACCTTGTTGTTTACGAGACAGGCTCAGTTCCTCTGGAAAGTCCCGACCATTGGAAAGCATTGCCCTAACCGAAGCTAGCAACATCTGCCTTGTGATAAAGACACAGCAGCAGCTATCAGACCAACCTTGACATGGGGGCCCCATGGCTGGCCAGCCCATGGGGCCCCACATCTCCCCCTTGTTTATTATTTAAATGGCATGGAAAAATACCTGTCGTAGGTACCCAATGGCATGCTACCTGCTTACCCATCATGGAGGTAATAGGAAGCCTGTCCTACCCTCTGTCTTAGGTTGCTAGATGCGCCCATCAGTGTTTACCCTTCCTTGACTACCGCTCCATCATGCTAAGCCATACTTCTTTATTGGGGTGAGATCGCAAGGTGGCCAGCATAGCCTGTTGGATTATCAGGTTGGTATGCTGCTGACGGAGTGCTAAGGCTCTGATCCACCTGACAATGAGGGTGAGGCCCAGTAATACCATAACAAACAGGCAACCAATAGCGACCCATTCTTTAACTGTGGACCAGGTGCTGGAAACCCATCGGCCAACAATAGAGAAGGGCGACCAAACTTCAACTTGAGCCCTGGTATTGTTAAGTACCCAAATGCTAGGTCGCAAGCGTTGCAGTAACATCGTAAAATTGCTGCAGGTGGTATTAATCATATATCCTAATTGGCGGGACATATCAGCAAGTGAAGAATATTGATCATAAGGAATATTGATATGCAAACGGCAACAGATTGAACCAAGCAGGGGGCCCCCATAAGTGAGGCCAACAAATCTATTTCCTGTTGGAGAACATCTACCTGTTGGTTGACCAGCAAAATTCCTGTCTTAAGACTTTCATCTAATTGCTCTTGGTGTTGGAGTGCAACTGCCGTTTGTGCCAAAATATTGTTGATTTGTTGAATTGAGCTAACTTGGGTAACCGCTAAGGTGACTGCGGCTGTGCTTGCTACCACAGCTGCTGTGATGGCAGTCACCAAAGCTGCAGTGATACCAAAATCCCTACGACTTCCCAGGATCACTGCGAAGTCTTCTGGCCCTGCCTTAATTGGAATCGGAATCCAAGTGGGGACGCGCATAATTACCCCCACAGATTGACCGTCCCAGCATTGAGTAAGATTGCCGGCAGTGCAAGTATTATTCACTTTATCACAAACATACCAAAGGAAAGGTGGCTCAATGCATGCCCGAGCTGAATAAATTTCAGATTTATAAGTATGGTAAAGAGTGACAATGTCATCATCCTCGGCCCACAAGCCATTGGACCAGAACCAACCCTTTAAAAACATAGGCGGGGATAAGTCAGTGCATGCACCAACACTATTTCAGGCAATTATGGGATCCCATCCATTACCCATCTCGGGCACTGGCTTAAAGGTTCGATTGATCCATAGGACACTGGGTTGAAGCATGGAGACAAGGGAGCAATTAAAAGGATTAGGAGGAAAAGGATCAGAACTAACACTAATATCAACACTATCATCATTAAGATCCACATAGGATCTACAGGAGTGATTGAAGGTCATGCTCATAAACTCGGTCA